AGATATATTTTAGTCCGTGGTACAGACCCCTTTTTATCAAATTATTAACATCCGCCTGAAACTTCGTAAATAGTTTCATCTCATCGTAACCTACAACTGTTTTATTTACGAAAACTCTTGGAATTGAGGCGTTTTCAATCTGGAGGGGGCTAATTTTGTCTATTTAATTAGGTACTCAAAACTCGTAAAAAAAGCATTTGCTTTATACTTGGATCGTAAGATAATTTAATAATCTATAAAAAAAGGTGGCCTACAAAAATATTGGCCCGTTTGCCCTATATAACATCGTTATTTTGAAAATTTAGGGGTGTAGGTCACGCCAAACGGCTTAATATTTTTGAAGGTCGCCTTTTTTCTCGACTTTTTGATCAAATTATCTTACGATACAAGTGGAAAGCAAATTGGTATTTACGAATTTTAAGTACCTAATTAAATAGACAAAGTTTGTCCCCCTTCAGATTGAAAACGCCCCAATTCCAAGAGTTTTCGTAAATAAAATAGTTGTAGGTTACGATGAGATGAAACTGTTTACGAAGTTTCAGACCGATGTTAATAATTCGATAACTAGGGGTCTGTACCACATAGAGACAGATATTAAAAGAGAAATATATCTTTAAATATAGGCTTTCAACTACATATATCGAGAAATATTTCAGTTGCTAATTATAACGCTAATCAAATTCTGTGCAAAGCTCATTAAGTTTAAGAAACAAAATATTTTAATAAGAAAGAATACATATAATCACTTCTTATCTTATGCAAACGAACCTAATCGACGAAATGCGATATATGAAGCTTTCAATTGACAGAATCACTAACTCTAATTTTAACATTTTTAAGTCATTTTAGTGATATTTCTAGTTAAGAAATTTATTCATACAGACAGAGAGTAAGTTGATTCCAGAGTAGGAGATTGCAATGCTGAAATATAGAACTGTGAATTAAGGTATACATTTTGCCATTAGAAATATCACTAAAATTAATAATAAAAAATGTTGAAATCGAATCATCATTCTGACAACTGAAAGGCTCATTTATCCAATGGTAATGCTACTATTGAGGTGAGCTTGTGTGGCTTTAAAACCATTTCTCTTGCATTATCTCGAAAGCCGTAAATTTTATGACTTAAAAACACAATGCCTGTTACGTTCCAACGGAACTTCGTCTCGATCTACAGACTTATAGACTAGGAACTACCGACCATTTCATTTAACGGGAGTACTTACAGCTAGTAACCATATTAGATAGATAGATAGATAGATAGAAAAATAATTTTATTCTGGGACACAGTCCCTTGAGAATAACAAAATAGAACAAAATTAAAAGATCACATCTGGCCAAAATAAAATCAATCGAAAAAAAGAAATAATGTAAAAAAAAATATAAGGTAAACATTCTATATACAAAAAAACGAAACTATATACAAAACAATTAATACTATGACAAGGCACTTAAAGCTATTTGCACTGATAGACTCGTATACACTTTTGAGAAAATAATAAAGAATTAAAATTAAAAATGTATCAATGAATCAATCAATGAATTTGTATGTATCAAATTCTCTATTAAAATCAGCTCGAATGGTTAGCAACTATCTGACTGTTCTTGGGATAGGAATTGGAATAGGAGGGTTTTGAATTTGGATATGGATGGGGAATGTCGAATTTTGATAGGGAGGGAATTCCAGAAATTGACAGAGCGAACAATAAAGGAATTTTGGAATGAGGCAGATCTGTGAGAAGGCATGTAAAGGTTAGAAGGTCGAGATCTTGTGGACAGGGAATGGACTGAGGATTTGAACTGGAGAAGGTTGTAGGCGCAAGAAGGACGATGGTTGTTGATGATTTGGTAGAGGAACGTACCTAGGAAATATTGTCTTCGGAAGGAGGGGAAAAGCCACTTTAACTCAGCGTAGTGGTGAGAAACATGGGAGTATCTTGGGGCCCCGATCACAAATCTTACGCAGCTGTTCATTAGTCTTTTCAGTCTATCACGGAGCTCCACAGAGAGGCCATCATACACCACACAGCTATAGTCAAAGTGGGGGAAAATGAGAGAGGAAACTAGGAGTCTACGCGTATGTTGAGGTAGGAGATGGCGGAAGCAATGGAATAGTTTGAGGGTGGAAATATTATATAAATATTACATTCTGGATAAACCTCACCTGAACACACAACTTCGGTCAGTCGATTGAAAGCCATTGAAAATTTAATCTGAAGAAGCGAAATTTGACGGTTCATGTAACGGAAGAACATACGGCTGAAATTTTGTTATGATGTCAAGAATAAGTCCCTAAAAGAGAATTCACCCTAACTGACGATGTACTCTGTTGCGCTTTAAAAACTAACGCGTCAAAGTCATCAAATTAGGCCAGTCGGATGGTAGTTGGATGAGGATAAAATTCAAATAGTTGTTTTTTGGAAATGCTGAATCTGAATTTGATGTTCTCGAACGGAGTTTAGCATTCCGAGATATATGCAAAAAAGAGCGAAATTTCCCCTGAACGAAATTTTCCATAGCGTTCCGAGATATATGCAAAAAGGAGTGAAATTTCCTAACATTTTTTAGTTTTTAGGTTATGACTCCGAAACGATGCATTTTATCGAAATTATTATTTTATACAAAGGTAAAGAAGATAAAATTTACCATCAATAGATTTTTGATGTAGGTCCAACGGTTAAGGAGTTAAAGAATATTGACTGTGAAAAGATAATTTTCTATTCTATTCTATTCTAAATATTGACAGTATGTATAAACTAAAAAAGATCTATCTGTTTTTGTTAAAAACTATATATACTTAAAATAACAACGAATCTACATAATTTGTGTAACAAACCGATTACTACTTAATAAATACCAAAAAACGGGAACATGGTCAAGGGTTAGGCTTGAAACGTTAATTCATTATATTTTTAAATTATATTAAGATGAACATTTGTTTATGTTATATTAAAAATAACTATTTAATTATCTATATAGTATTCGAAATAACTATTTAATTATCTATTATGAATAAAAAAAAAATTTAATTCGTTGTATTATTAAATTATATTAAGACGTTATAAGTATTTAATTTCGTTAGTGGGGCAGGGATGTGCTATGGAGCACAAATCTGGGGTGGGGTAAGTTATGAAGCCGTTGAAAGACTACTAAGACACTTGCTTAAAAAAATATTTAAATGTTACATTATACAAATTTTAGATTACATTATACAAATTTAAATAATCAAATTTATTTACATTAAAAAAAATATTTAAATGTTACATTATACAAATTTTAGATTACATTATACAAATTTTGAATTTTCCACCACATAGATTTCCAAAAATTTTAGCATTGCAAATAATTAAAAAAGAAATCGCATGGTTTAGGGACTTACTTAATCTGACAGAACTGCATGGATTAAATTTGAACTTAATCCGATCTAGCAGTGATTATGTTAAACTATGGAGAGCTAATTTATATTTACTAAGAACTCAAATTCAAAAAGACATAAATAATCAATATGTAATTAAAATTCAGAATTCTGAAACTTTCACTTTTTATCCTCATTTAACTTCAGTAAATTATATTGATGACCAAAGCTCATTGAAGGTGATCAGATGAGTAATTACAATTAGAACTGATGTTTTTAACTTAAATTATAAACACTTCAAGCAAACAGATAATAATTGTAGCATGTGTAATACAAACGAAACAGAAGATCTCTATCATTTTCTGGCTGCTTGTCCGATACTCTCTGAATTTAGAATTAAATGGTTAAAATCTAGAAATTTATCTCGGGATCAAGTAATTGATTTATTAAATGGAAACAATTGGATAGTATTGACAAATTATTACAAGTCTGCTTTCTCCTATAGAATAATGATCACCAGAGAATTTAACAATTAATAAATTGGAGAATTTTGATATCACTCTTTATGTAATTAAAATATTTATATAACTTTTACATTTTGAATATAATTGTTCTTATTTTCTTATTAGTTGTATGTAAATAGATTGAAATATAATTTTGTTATGAAACAGACTCCTCTAACGGTCAACAGACAGCACGTCTAAATTTCGGTTTTAAATCCAAAAATATTATTTTGTAATTTTGATAAATAAAAAGACTTTTTCTTCTTGTTCTTCTTAAGATGTTATAGCAAGCAACAGGAATTTACCTATGTATACGTATTTACACTAGCGGATCCAGGATTTAATTTTGGGAGGCGCTTCAGCCCGAAAGCTTTTTTTTTTCATAAAAATAACGATAATTACTTTGTAAAAACAGAAAGAAACTAACTACATATATGAAATGCTTTTTAAGTGATTCCTTAAGTCCTTTTAAATGTAATTACCTGTACACCATTGCAACCCATGAAGGGTCTTGGGTTCAGTACTATTTAGGGAAAGCACTGTTTCTAGGTCAACGGTTGTGCAAGGAGGTGATTTGACCGATATCACGCTCAACCGCCAGGTTTTCTCCCTTAATTAATTTTTAATTAAGGGTATCCACTTTATAGAGGCTGGTTGTGCCCCAGGAGGGTCTACCGACCCAGGGTCGTCCCACGGCCAATGAACCAGAATATATAAATTTTCTGCCATGAGCCGGGGTTCGAACCTGGGACCTTAAGCATTAGAAGCTGAGTACCCTACCACTGAGCTACCCACTCCCTAAATGTAATTACACGAACAATAATACTTTAAGAGGTATTTAAAAAAAAATATTTCCATAAAACAAGATTATATTTTACCATTTTGGAGGGGGGGGGGGGGCTTCCGCCCGAAAGCCTCCCCTCCCCCAGTAGATCTGCCCGTGCGTATTTATATATCCTTTCATCGTTATACTAACAAAAAATGGGCCAAATTCCATGGCTAAAAGGTGTATATATTAGCCAATAAACTATCTATCTATCTATCAATGTCATCCTAAATAATGAGGAGAACTAAGTGATAAATAAAATTATTCCAAAGATATTTGTATAGTTATTATTTATGAAGATAAATATATTCGGCCGATGTGTGTTATTAATATTGTGTATCGGTACCGTAAATCGGAGAGAGCCGTTGAGGCGCTCGATGGCGGCGGTGCCAGACCGTACCTCGACCCGGGCCTAACAGCTCGAGATCTACCGCCCCTGATTCCGCTGCTCTCTCGTGATCGCTCATTAAAACTCTACAAGAATCGGCCGTTTTTCAACAAAACAAAACAGGCAAGTTATAGTCGATCATTGGTTCCTACCTCATTGGTTTATAGTTCTTAACACGCTTAGTCATTCCTTTAGCCACGCCTCCAATAACCTGCAGATATTTAACACTCATCACTTTGTATTATAAATCATAAAATAGATACATTCATATGTAAACATAAATATATACGTAGTTTAAGCAAATATATAAAAAAGCCATATACCGATTTTATAGCATTATTTTTCCTATATATTATTTCTGAAAAGTTTTTTTTTTTTGTCGGTACGTCATAACTTCGTCAATTCTTCATCAAATACAATGATTTACCACTCATAAAAAAAAAAGTTATGGAGGAAAAGAAATTTTATTTACGAATAACTCAAAAAGATTTTTTTCTCTATTGTACCCATGATAATTAGAAAGATTACTAAATAACCTACAAAACAAAAACAAAAAATTCTATTAGAAATATGTAAAATTTAAACAATTTATATTTACGGTAGGAGTAAAGTGTATTGAAATATTTCACAGCTCGAAAGACCCTCGAATACAAATTTTCATTGCGAAGGAAAAATAATTTTTTTTTTTCCTACTTATTTGACCTAAGGGGAACCTTTGATATTTTTTTTGAAAATCACAAAAAGTCTTATAACTTCAATATTCTTCCACATGTTCACACGAAATTTTGCAGAGATATATGGCCTTATAAACCACGCTAAATTTTGCAATAATTTAGATCCTAAATCCTAAATAATTTAGAAATGAAGTTATAAAATAAAAGCGTGTTAGGAGTTTTTATTTATTTACTCCTTATAGAAGTGTTGAATCAAAAAGATATTTATACGGTCTTGAAGAGCGATAATTCAGCTTTCCAACGGTTGTAGAAACATTGAATTAGGATAAAATCCTGAGGAGTTATGAAGGTTTTAGTTAACGGCAGGCAAAAACATCATAATGAAAAGTGAAGTCGTTGCCATGACGACTATCTAAGCACATATCTTCTATTCTACATATTATTTCTAAAAGGTGATTTTTTTGTCGGTACGCCATAACTTCGTCAGTTCTTCATCAAATCCAATGATTGACCACTGATTTTGAAGGTATTCTTCTCCTTCACATGTGGAAAATAGTCCCATCATCCCGAAATTTCTAGAAAAAAAGGTTATAGAGGAAAAGAAACTTTATTTGCGAATAACTCAAAAAGTATGCATTTTTTCTTCATTGTACCCATGATAATTAGAAAGATTACTAAATTACCTACAAAAAAAAAAAAAAAAAGATCTATTCGAAATATGTATAATTTAAACAATTTGTATTGACGGAAGGAGTAATGTGTGTTGACATATTTTTTTAAATGGAAACAAAGTTGATATTTGTATTTCGCAGCTCGAAACATTCCCGAATACGAATTTTCGTTGCGATCGAAAAATAAAAAATTGTTTCTACAAATTTGAAATTAGACACCCAACCCTCTTTTATTTTTTTTGAAAGTCACAAAAATTTTGATAACTTCGATATGCTTCCACCTATCCATAGGTGACAATTCAGCTTTCCAACGGTTGTAGAAACATTGAATTAGGATAAAATCATTAGGAGTTATGAAGGTTTTAGTTAACGGCAGGCAAAAACATCATAATGAAAAGTGAAGTCGTTGCCATGACGACTATCTAAGCACATATCTTCTATTCTACATATTATTTCTAAAAGGTATTTTTTTGTCGGTACGCCATAACTTGGTTAATTCTTCATCAAATCCAATGTTTGACCACTCATTTTTAAGATATTCTTCTCCTTTACATGCGAAAAATAGTCCTATCCTCCCGAAATTTCTGGAAAAAAGTTATCAAGAAAAAAAACTTTATTTGCGAATAACTCAAAATGTATGCATCTTTTTCTAGATTGTACCCATGATAATTAGAAATAAATCCTATTAAGTGTAACTAGTTGGCACGTACGAAAAATTCGCAGTCAATTTTTTTTTAATGAAGTAATATTAAAAAAATACGGAAATAAGTAGTTCCTATGTATTATGTAAGGAAGGAATTAATATTTTTTTCGTAGTCGATTACAATATTCCATTTAACATAATAGACCAAAATATTTATACAAATTGCTTTGCTAGGACCTATTTTTAAACACTGACTGGACAGATAATAAAAGTAATATAGACAAAATAATGCCCGATGATAGGATATTGTAAATTTAAAAAAAAAATGTAAGAACAACCAAATGTCTTTAAAAAATAATAAATTTAATATAAAAGCCGGGAAAAAAATGTAGTAGACTATTCTACTCCTAAATGCAACATCTTTAAACAGGAAGGCATCATTAAGTATACCAAAACTAATGGACTGTATCTTTGTTAATAATGTCCGATTTTTATAATTTTTTTTTTTGTTTCGTAGGTAGTTTAGTAATCTTTCTAATTATTGTGGGTACAATCTAAGAAAAATTGCATACTTTTTGAGTTATTCGCAAATAAAGTTTCTTTTTCTCCATAACTTTTTTTCCAGAAATTACGGGGGAATGGGACTATTTTTCGCACTAGTTTCTATTCCTTCATAACTTTCTTTCCAAAAATTTCGGAGTAGGGGAGGTAGTACCATTTTTCGCACGTGAAGGAGAAGAATATCTTCAAAATGAGTGGTCAATTATTGGATTTGATAAATACCGTATAAATAACTTTTTGATTTAACACGTATATAAGGAGTAAATAAATAAAAACTCCTAACACGTTTTTATTTTATAACTTGAGTTCTAAATTATTTAGGAAGGTTTGTGTCATTTCGTGTAGTTTATAAGGCCATATATCCCTACAAAACACTTTTTGTGATTTTCGAAAAAAATGTCAAAATTTATTTTTCGATTGCAATGAAAATTCGTATTAGGGGGTCTTTCGAGCTGCGAAATACAATTCTCAACTCTCTTCCTCCTTAAAAAAATATTTCAACACACTTTACTCTTACCGTAAATACAAATTGTTAAAATTTTACATCTTTCTAATCGATTTTTACAATTTTTTTTTGTTTGTTTTATAGGTAATTTAGTAATCTTTCTAATTGTCATGGGTACAATCAAGAAAAAAAATGCATACTTTTTGAGTTATTCGCAAATAAAGTTTCTTTTCCTCCATTACTTTTTTTCCAGAAATTTCAGGGGAATGGGACTATTTTTCGCATGTGAAGGAGAAGAATATCTTCAAAATGAGTGTATATCTTCAATCATAGGATTTGATGAAGAATTGACGAAGTTATGGCGTACCGACAAAAAAACATCTTTTAGAAATAATTTATAGGATTAAACGTGGCCCGAAGCCCTCAGTAGATCCGCCTGTGGTTTCAATAGTGTATTGAAGTTCAGAAGTATTATTGCAAATGTAATTTATTAATTTTCTAGCAACATTTGTGTTGCTTAATGCAGTAACGTAATTACTTTTGTTATGGAATGATTTAAAAATAAGTTGAGAGCTTTATACAAATGGCATTGGTTTTGTGAATGCCAATAAATTCTATTCCTACACGTTGACCTTAACGTCACAGATAATAAAATCGCGTAACCTATCATCGAAGTTAATAATTTTATATTAGTAGTATTGGTGAAATAACAGAAAATTGTCGTGGATAATATGATCTCGTTACTTTCTGGAATATTTTTCCCTTTCACTTCCATTTATCAGTCCTTTCAATTCAGCGATCATGAAGTATTATTTTTATAAACGATTCCCTTAAAATTGGGTCAGCCTACAAAATCGTAACTCCAACGCCTTGCATGTAGTTTTATTGAGATGTTAATTTAAAGCAAGTAGTAATTATGTGGTAATTGCAATTGTCGAGTCTTGTTACTGGTTGTTAGTGTCAAGGTTTAAGTGGTGCCTTTAAACATTGTTAAACCGACACAGTTGTTCATGACTGCATCTCTTAACTTAGAGTTTACCAATAGCAAAATGCTTATTTATTTGCCGATAATAAATTATTCTATTTTTAATTTCAATATTCCATATATTCAAGTTGTTTAGTTTCGAACATCACGCAATCATTCGATAGAACTGTCGCCTATAAGTGACACACTTAAACTCTCACAGAGTTATTACTTCACTTTCAATTTAGTTTATATCTGATGAGATTTCTAACACGAATCCCATTCCTTTTGATGTCCATTTTCACATTTATCAGAAGTGATTGAAAATGGATCAAATCTGATTGGCAAATACGATCACTCTTTATTTTATATTACTCGCCATTTCCACTATGCGTGTGGTTGTTCTAGAAGTACAACCAAACCTACCCGAAATATAATGGGGAGGTCGAGTTTAATTCGGTGTATCCGCCACGAAATAAATTTCAACTTATCTCGGCTGGACTCGAAAATGCTAAAATTATAACGCTTCAACACGCTCGACCACCGCAGTCTCAATTATTTCTTGTAGAGAGAAATACTTTATTGAAAGTAATGCTGCCCTACCACTAGCGGATCCAGGATTTAATTTTGGGGGGGCTTCAGCCCGAAAGATTTTTTTTTCATATACATATAACGATAATTAATTTGAAAAAAAAATAAAGAAATTAATTACCTATATGAAATAGTGTTTAAGTGGTTCTTGAAGTCCAATTAAATATAATTACACGAACAAGAATATTTTAAGAGATAGTTTTTAATATTTTTTTCTGTGAAACATGGTTATATTTTACCATTTTGGGGGAGGCTTCAGCCCGAAAGCCCCTCCCCCCGTAGATCCGCCTGTGTGCCCTACTACATAGGATTGCTTTATACACAGGATAATGATCAACACGGGCGGATCTACGGGGGGGGGGCTTTCGGGCTGAAGTCCCCCCCCCCCCAAAATCGGAAAATATAACCATGTTTTATGGGGAAAAAAATTTTAAAAATACCTCTTAAAGTATTATTGTTCGTGTAATTACATTTAAAAGTACTTAAGGAATAACTTATACACCATTTCATATAGGTAGTTAGTTTCTTTCTTTTTTTCCATAAGTATCGTTATTTTTATGAAAAAAAAAGGTTTCGGACTGAAGCCCCCCCCCCCAAAATTAAATCCTGGATCCGCTAGTGATGATCAATCCATATGGACATAGCTCTTACATTATATTATTCCATTATTTTATAAACATATTTTTTTTCTCCCTTTTCAAAACACACATTTTCTGAAAAAAAAAAAATTAATATGGTCGACCAGACTTAAAAGACAACAACTAAACAGACGATTCGGACATCTATATATACTAATTAATAGAAAATCTCAACTTTCAGTCGACAACAAACTAATAATCTACAAGACAATCCTGAAACCTATCTGGACGAGAGATGTGGGGGTCAACAAAACCTTCTAACATTAAGCGCATTCAATCAGTCTAAAGTCCTCCGAACAATAGTCGATGCTCCCTTCTATGTATCCAACAAAACCCTCCATAATGACCTTCATATCCCATTTGTTATTGACCTAATCCCAGACAAATTTTCCAAATTTCACCAGAAACTCGCTCATCATCCAAATCCTGTAGCACAATCCCTATCTAGCTCCAGCCATCCCTATAATCCTACCCGGAGGTCAATATTTTGTAAATATTGGAGTACTGGCAATGGCCAGATTCTCCACTCATGTCCTGAGCGTCTGTTGCTCTAGTGCCCTCCATCAGTCTCCAATGGCTTGCAATACCAGTGAGGCGGCTAGGAGAGAAGCAATGGGATCTCCTGGGGTCCTGCCTTGGGTTCCACATCTGGGGGACAAAGAATGACTTGGAATCCTCTGGGCGAATGTAAATATTGTATATAGGTGTGAATGTGTTTTATATATTTCAATTTCATTTAGCTTTTCTCTTTTTTTTTTATTATTATTTTTTTTTTTACCTATACATGTTAAACTCTTTTTCTTTTATCTCTATTTTAGTTATCATTTGTATGTATATATTGTGTGAATGTTTAATGTAGCCCTAATATTAATGCCCTCCAATGCGGCAGAATGTATTAATTTTCAAATAAAAATAAAATAAAATACAGTCGAATGCTAGAAATACAAGATTAAATCGCACACACATATATCAACGCAATTACATGAATATAAATAAAAAGATAAGACAAAGCTAAAAATTAAAATTGCATAAATAAATAAATAGATAAATGACAAAAGAAATTATAAATTCACAGTACTAATACTAATACTCAGCAACACTAACGGATCCAGGATTTAATTTTTGGGGGGGCTTCCGCCCCAAAGATTTTTTTTTTGTAAGTATATATTAGGATAATTCCTTCGAAAGAAAGAAAGAAACTAACTAGCTATATGAAATGGTGTGAGTGATTCTTTAAGTCCTATATAATGTAATTAGACGAACAATAATACTTTTAGAGATAATTTTTTTTCATAAAACATGGTTATATTTTACCATTTTGGGGAGCGAAAGCCTCCCACCCCCCGTAAATCAGCTCGTGTTGAGCAACAAAGGCGTAACTAGAATTTGGGGGGAAGGCATCTAAATGTTGGCGCCTTTTATCACACTCCGCCCGCCAATAAAAGTTAATTTAAAAGTTTCATAAAAGTATTTTAGGCAATAAAAACAAGTATAGGGTCTGTAACTGGGCTAATCAATTATACTTTCGTGTTATAATGTATGTTAATATGGTATATTTGATTTGATTTTATATAATGTTTAGCTTGTTATAATGTTTTGTGAGCTATAATGTTTCTAATAATATTATTACCACCAACGGTGTTATTAACATTTTTGTATCTAGATATTTTTTTCACCGGTCAACAGCGAAATTTAATTAACATTTTTAAAAAATTTATGTTAATGAAATCAAAATTTCATAACATGTTAATAACTCGATTTAATACATATTTCTAGTGTAAAATCACCTTTACCGCCTTTTTTTCGTGACGATTGTATTTACTTTCAAGTACCTGAAAATATAATCAAAATTCTCTTTTCTAATAAGTTGAGAATATAAAAATAAAATAGAGATATTCTACAATTTCTAAAAGTAAAATTTCAAAATGAAATACCTTGGTGCCATCTATCGAAGCGAGAAGTTAAGCGCTTGATCAACCATCCTATGAAGTTGTTGACATCACATTGTAATATTGACTGCACTTTCTTTAACCATCCCTTTTGAATAAATTCTGAAATAGTTTCAAATATCAATATCGTATCTTTTTTTGTTGCAGCTATACAGGACACTGCCCAACTCTGAAGTTTCGCATTGGAAAGCGATACGGCGCTAGCACTCAAGAAATCATCCGAGTAAGTATTCTTGATTCACAACTGACTGTATCAGGTTTGTCATATATAACAATCGAAAACAAAGCTTTCTTTCTTTTTAAGAATGCCATTAATGACATTTAAAAGCAGGAAAAACTATTTGGCTATTTCAATTCCCAAAACTTATTGTTTGAATTTTATTTTAAATGATTTTAACTAAATCTGAAACAAAAAAATCGATTAATCGATTAGTTTAAATCGAGCCATTGTTTACTTTAGAAAAGTACAATTATAATAGAATAAAAAACAGTATGAGAGAAAAGAGAAAAAAAATATTGAATACTGACAAATTACAGGGTAGGGTCATGGTATGTTGCACTAGTGTATCCAGAATTTAATTTTTGGAGGGCTTCAGCCCGAACCTTTTTTTTTTTTTATGCATATAACGATAATTAATTCGAAAAAAAAAGAAAGAAACTAACTACCCATATGACATGGTGTTTAAATGATTCTTGAAGTCATATTAAATGTAATTGCGCGAAAAATGATACTTTAAGAGATAGTTTTTTAATCTTTTTTTCTATAAAACATGGTTATATTTTACCATTTTTTTTGGGGGGGGGGAGGGCTTCAGTCCGAAAGCCCCCTCCTCTGTAGATCTGCCTGTGGTATGTTGGGTAAAGATAGGTTCTTCAAAACATAAGTGCCCATCTCCTCTCCTCCCCCCCCCCAAAGAAATATTTTGCACTCTTTTTATTAAAAATAATAAATAAGGCTAGGGAAAGTCTAATTATTTAAAATTACACTAGTTGTGACTTTGTTTCCATTACTGCTACCTTGTCATTTCTTCCAGATGGGGGAGGAGGTTTTGCTACAAGCACTAGCAGATCCAGGATTTAATTTTGGGGACTTCAGCCTCAAAGCTTTTTTTTCATGTATATAACAATAATTACTTTGGAAAAAAAAATAGAAATATACTAATTACCTATATGAAATAGTGTTTAAGTGATTCTTGTAGTCCTATTAAATGTAATTACAAGAATAAAACTTGTAACCATAAAACATGGTTACATTTTACCATTTTGAGGGGAGGCCTTATGGCTTCAGGTGGAAAGCTCCTCCCCCCCCTCGTTTATCCGCCTGTGGCTACAGGTACAACCCAACCTATTTTAACTAGAGTAAGATGGTCGAGATTCATTCCGCGGGTCGCCACAAAATAAACAGCTAGACTCAAGAAAGCTCTTCCATTACTACTTAAACAACCTGTGACCTGTTCCATGTTGTTCCTCGTGAAAAGTATATTTCTTACAAAAATTCATATCTCCGTAAAATGTGCCTCTCCTTCCTCTTAAAAATATATAGCCTCATAAAAATATGTTCTCTTCAAAAATACATTACCCTATAAAAATGAGATCTCCCTCAAAAATACATACCCTCTTCTATGCACCTATAGTCAACAGAATATATTATTAGTACAGTTATACCTCAATAGTTCTATCAATTTTATGATCTAGAGTAATCAGTAATTAAAGCACCAAATCATTCAATAATGTCTCAGCCCTTCCTTCATTAGTATTATTGAAAAAGAAGTGCTGAATAACAGTAAACAGTAATGAGTATATATATATATAATTTTAATATTGTCTAAGTAATCTAATAGCAATTAAAAATCAAAACCCAGAGATAAACAGACAATGAGTTTGTTATAACTAGGATTGGATGCTTTATAAAGCAAAATGATTTAACGCTTATCCAAATTTTTCTCCAAAGTTAGAAAATGTTTAAAGTGCGACGTGAGATATAAATAAATAAAATTGAATAATCATTGAGAGAAATAAAATATAAAACAGTTATTTAGAATAGATTTAAATGCGGTACACTTAACTCATCCAGTAAGTATATGCTTCTCTAAAAGCCCCATTTGCCCACTGTAGATATTGAAAGACAAAAAAAAACAATAACAGTGCTAAAAAACAAAGCTAGAAATTTTAAATATTACTTAGATGATGGTGGCACCCATAATCATGTGCCATACCTCTAGGTACTACTGACACACCATATATATATATAATTATTTTTTGTTTTGTTTTTGTACAATGCCTACGTACAAAAGAATTTTTTTAATCTCGAACTTTCCAATGTATTTCAAGATTTTCTATTCCACAGGAAATGGGTGAAAGAGGAGTATGGGCAAAAAGAATGTTGGAATCCCATTACCGCCAGGTAGATCCTCTCAAAGGCCTCTTGGTAGGTGGTGATTTCCGTCCAATCGAGAAAACGAAAGGTCAAATGAATCCACCTGCTGGAAGAAGCAAAAGATACATTCTTGGATACACAGGTATTTTTCATTTATTGAGGTTCTTAAAGAATTTCTATTAATCTATTTAGCATTAATTTATGTTTGCATAATAAAATATCCGATTTATATATTTCATTATATTCTGTGTATTGTACAAATTTCCTAAAATTTCTTTCGAACAGGTTTTATACCAGGAATGAACTTTTCTTATGGCAAATCATATGCTAACTTAGCAGAGGAAAGTTTTGATAGATTTAATGTTCAGGTAAGATAACTATATGTCTTAGAGCTGCTATTGATTGGCCGAATTTGCTTTTACAAAATTTAATAAAAGATCCTTAGTCAAACTGAATTTCATCATTTAAATTGATAAAATGACGCCCCTGTAGTTATATTTACTCTTTCGTTCAATATAGGCTTTTATTCACTTAAAAAATAAATTGTTTTTGTATTCAACAGTTGACATTATCAAAAATTACATCTCCATAAGAACTATAATTGTGATGACAATGATTTATTATTATTTATATAACAGTTATTTACAACGAAAAAGCTTAAAGATGGATCTTTTTTCTATCTACTTTACATTTATTGCATGTGTTTGACAAAATTTAGAAAATGGTAGATATTTTTAAATTATATTTATTATTTAAAAACATTTTATTTTGTTTTTGTAGTTTACTGCTTTTGAAAAAAGGAGTAACTTAATATTTGCTTTAGTTCTGTCATCCCATAAAAAATTTAATCAGTTATGGTTATGGGTCCATGGGGTATTAAATCAAAAACAGTTGAGATTCAATGTTACTTTAATGGACGCCGCTAGTGAACAGACTTAAGCCAAGCATGCCCACACTGCTCATTGTTCTGAACCAGTGTTGCTATCTTTATTGTTACATTTATTTTATTTAATTTATAGATTAATAAAATACAAATCTCATTTATACATGTAATGAACGATAAAGTAATTTTGCACAACAGTTATTTTAGTTTGAATTGTTAACTATTTTAAGATATATCATTTTCTAAAGAATTTTCTATAATTATTGGAATGGAAAAGTCGTACCGTAGCTAGTACCAATATAGATCTTCTTTGATTATATTAAAAGATAGATTTTTTTTTTCTCTCTTATTCCGTTAACTAAATCTAATGATAATGAAGACTAATGCGATAAGTTCATTGTCAACTCTTTGAACATTTAGAGTGTCGTTGCATAATTGAGCACTGGATTACTCTTGAAGTAGCAAATATTTCTTATAGAATGGCAATTTTATCTAATGAGGAAAGTATTCCCAGAATATTAAAATATTAAATAAGAAAAAAAATCAATTCTTTAAAAGTTTCTTCTGCATTGATAAATTTATTAACATATCCTTCATTACATTACCAATCTCTTTGAATAAGTGTCTAATTTTATTTCTTAATGTAAAGGATTGAGGCTTTACATTACAAGACATGCAAATATGTTGTACAAAGAAATAGAATTTTAAAAAAAATCAGCTTTTACCTGAAAACACTAAACAATAATCCAAATTATAATTATTTTATTTTTTATTATTATGATTCTGAATTTTGAACACTCACGTTCGCAACTATTTTAAATGTTTTTTAGAATGTTAAATACTGTTTATGGGTTGACTAAATTCACTACAACCAAATATATAATTTTAAAATTACACTGAAATATTTCTGTTTAATAAATTTCAATTTCAGGCTCCTTTAATTTGAAAAATAACTTTTTCTTTTTAAATTATTCATTTAAAGTAGCAAAATTGTTTTCTTTTGCATTACAAACTTGACATGATAGTAAAAACAAAACAAAAATACGTGGCCATATTAGTAGTACTAAATAAAGTTTCTCCATTCGAAACTTTACATCTATTGCTTATAAAATTGAAGCTTATTTGGTTATTAATCCCATAAGCCTTTAAATCATACCACCTAAGTGCCTTTGAAAAATTGCAATATTGAATTAGACGAGCTTTGTTAATGCATACAATGACGAGCATGAGCTGTTGATGCTGATTTTATTGCTTGTGAGACGCTTGTTCTTTTTAAAAATACTTTTGATTAATAAATAATTTCTTCAAAACATCATTGTTTTAAAACTTTTCAAACCAGAGGAGAGCTGCTTTGGAGAGAAAGAAAGCGGGCGATCTATCATGGAGAGCAAAGGCTCGTGGTACTCAAAAGCTCCCTGAGACGTACCCACATGACAAATTAAACGCGGCCCTCTTGGACTATGATGAGAAAAACAGGTATAGAGGTAATACCTATAAGCGATGTAGTAACGAAGAAGCAGAATATTCACTTAAGAAATAATATGTATAAGTGAATGATTTTTACGTGTTATTTATTATATTATTTTATCATTAGTCTGTTTTACTACAAATGAAATTAATTCCTTAATTAAATACCTTAGCTCTAATTTAAAATTTATTAAACAAGAAAACAGAATTCTGTTAATTTAAATGCTCTATCGCGAGTTTTTTTTTTTTTTTTTTATTAGTCAATATCTGAAAAGAAACTTACAAAATAATGAATGCATAAGAATTGTAGTTTTATTCTCTAGTTACTATATAAGTTTATCCAATGAATGCTTTTAAACAAGTACTGTAGAAAAACTTGATTTCAATGTGCTCTCAATAATGCTATATTTTTTAGTTCAAATATTCAGTAAAACTATAGAATTAAATATTACAAAAATAGCCAAGAATGGATGTCTTCCTTTTTTTCCTTGCAACAATATTGACAATGCAAAAAAAATCATACCTAAAAAAAAAATGTTATACCACAATTATAAGTAGAAAAAAAATAAAAATTTAAAATTAAAAAATACACATTTTTATTTTGCTATACTTATTTCATAAAATTATTGGCCTCATAAATAGTATGTTTTTTCTGTAAGAAGGTACTGTATCTGATAAATCAATTTGTGATGAGCATTTTCTTAAATACAAAGTTTGTTTTTTTCACTTAACTTACATTATTAATGGATTTAAGATAAATATCTGTATCCCGGAGGTGAACAACACCATGTCCATTTTTGTATTTGTTCACGAGAAGCAATGTTCCATAATATTGAGATGTTAAAATTTTTTTCTTTGTTACTAAATCTGTACTCTGGATATTAAGGATACCATGTCTTATATTGTATTTGTTTAGAGAGTCATTTTTCCATAACTCTGAGATATTAAAATTAGTTTCTTTGTTACTAAATTATTTAATGAAAAAATGAGCATGGTGTTGTTTACCTCCGAGACACAGATATATTAATCCCTAATTCTTCAAATTATTATTATAGCACCTTTTTGTAAAACTAATTTTAAAAATTAGTTCAAAATGGAATAAAGTAGCATTTTGAAAATATTTTATAATACATTTATTATATATTCTTTTATTATATTAGATATTTTAGTGTTCTTTTTTCAAGATAATACCACCAAAGTTATTACATTTTTGTGTAGCTATATAATATATCCTCAAATGTATTCTATGAACTACCAAATAAATCTCTAAAATCACTTTTAAATTTCATATTATTAGTTTTTATTTTAACTTTCCTTACATTATTATTCATTTTTATTTTGTTAATATGTGTTTTTATATATACACCTGAATAAATAGTGATTAAGTTAACATTCATCAGCATTAACATAATCTGAATCTATTTCAACTTAAGTCAATGAGTTCAGGTGATTGAATATTTAGTGAAACAATTTTAACTGCTCTTTATGGCAATACAATCTGTTACTACATTATGACATATTCCCTTGAAAACCTGTCCAATTTTCATGGTTATTTTCTTTTTGTAAAATAATAAAATAATTATGGTAATAAAATAGACGAAGCCAAATGTAACCACAATACTGACATTATTTTTTAAATAAATAAATTTCAAAATATTTGTTGGTATTTGAATAAAATTGTATTTATAGAGTTTAATTCAAATTAATTTCTTGAATTACCATTCTTTGTCATAATAATAACGGAGTGTTATTATTTGTAGCATATATATGTAATATGCAATGACTGGATGGATGGGTGCTGTACTTATAATTTTTTATTATTCCATGAACTCTCATATCCAAAGCTCAACTCTACATGTAAAGAAGATGATAGGAGAGATCGACGACACCAACATTAACTTTTCATGAACATAGTTTAATTGATGGAATAAAAGTTGGCTTTCAATGTTAAAAGAAACAATAAACAACTACAAAGTAAAAACTAATTAAATAAAATGAGAATATATTCACATATTCTTTGAACAGAATGCTACATTCAAGAGATAATTACTTCCAAAGAATTTTTAAAATTACAAATGTAATTCCAATTATAATGGTGTGCTGAAACATAAGATATTACTATTTTATAACCTATATTTTACTAAATTTGTTTAGTTGATACAAATTGGAGTGGGATATCTTAGTGAGAAAGATACTCCTATTCTCATGAGCTCGGGTTAGAATCTGGCAGCAACAGATAGTTATTTATTCTGTTACATTAGCTGTGGATCAACTGTAGGGTTAGAAACCACCAAGACAGTGTATTGTGTATACATTTATTCAGTACTATAAGTGTCGATTGGGAAAAAAATCTGGTAGTTGAGCGTGAAATCGGTCAAATCACCTCTTTGTACAACTGTTGTCTGTGAAACTTCTTTAAAAAGCAACGAACCTAAGATCCTCCGTATGTTGTAGTGGTATAGTGGTTTTTGTTATGTATGTTAATTATTTGAAAATGTCATTAAAAAAAAAAAAGAAAACTTATAATTGATAAAATATTAAATATCTCCTCTAAGATGTACCTCATTTCTGAAAATTTAGTTTTTTATATATCTTCTTCCATTTCTTATTTTTTTTTTAATTTTCAGATGAGCATATATCACCAGAGCAGCCCCCGATAGCAGGCTATACGGGACATATACCGAGGATAAAGTCCTCAGAAGCTTCCCTAAGTTTGCGTTACCACGAGGCTGCTAAGAAAGGTCTCTACCTCCTCCAACAGGTAACAAGTTAATTATTTCTGGGTATTAAAATTATTTCTTTTGGGAAATACGCTAAATAAAGTCTAATTATTTGTTTTGAAAATTAAACCCCACCTTTATCAGTTCAATGAAAATATCTTCTACACCAAATGGCATTTCTTATTTTCAAAAAATGTAATTCATGATTTTATATTGCTACAACTTTAAAAACTCATTAAGAATAATTTATTGAGAATTAAGACAATGTTATTTGTAAAAAAAATAGTCTCTCATCGAATAAAACAATATATATAACTAAACAATACTGATCAAGGTTCGATTGAAGAAAACAAATGAGTATAGGTTGAAAATTTATAATTAGAATTATCAAGAGATGAGATGAAGTTCCATTATTTTTTTATTTGATTCAGGATTCTTCTTCTCTACACTTGGTGTAGGGCTTGAAGCCTCATGATGGCTGAAATGAAAAAATAAAATATATTAATGTATTTTCTTTACTGTTCCATATTGACTTACAAAATCTTGGATTACTACAATAAACTCCTTTGAAATAAATATACAGGTGACATTCAAGTTACACAACTAATTCATTTGGTGTAAATTAAAAACATTATATATATGTACATATTCTATTACAAGAAATTATGTAAATTGAAACATTAAATTCATACAAAAAATGTATATTTCATTCTTGGTATAAACTTTAACTGTAGGAATACCTGTACTTAGGACTGACTGAATGATTTAATATAATAATAGAAGTATATATATTTCAACTCTATCATAATTAATACAAATTTGGAAAGCTAGACTCTGTAATTATTTTTAAATAATTAGTTGATCAAATTAATTAAGTAGTTAATAACTACCAAAAAGAAATAACATTTTACTGCTGATTTAAGTACTGGGAAGTAGAGGTCAGGATTGGAATTGACGATGTTTGAATCATTACCCCCATACTCTAACCTTTAAATAGTAAAAAAATAAATATTTTAATAATTTGAGTTTCAGCAATATACTTACGTGTTTTCTTTACAACAATAATAGCCATCTTTACAGCAGTAGCGTTCATTGCGGCAGCAAGAGTGCTCATTACAGCAATGGTATCCTTCCTCACAGTACCTGTTAAAGTTGCACCAATCAACTGGAATTTGATTCAAATTAAAATGACTCATTAAAATGAAATAAAGAGAAAAATGGATGCTTACGCGATGTAATAAATTTCAATAATTAATTTTTCTTCAAAAGTTTTAACTAATTGATTTAGTGTTTATTTTCACCTTGTTACCTAAAACATTTGTGTCTAAATAGTCATGGATAAAGACAACATAACTAAACTAACTTAAAGGAACTATTAGATTCATTATTATTGTTCACCAGGAGGAAAGAATTAGAAACAAATGTTTCTTTAGGAAATACTAAAGTGTGAAGTATTTTCCTGCCCACCTCTTGTTTTATAAATGTGATCTTGACACAATCCTCCCTCAACTTTCACTTTTAAATAAACAGAGAATTTTTTTTATTTATTAATGATATTTGCAACTGTACTAAAGAAATACATTCATATTTTTTATATTAACTTCCATTTATAGCCAATATTCATTCTTAGCTCTTTTCTGATTTTCACAACTTAAGATAAGATTTTTTCAATTTTTGACTTAGCTCTTATGTCTATCAAGCATTTAGCAATATCTTGGAGGTTTTTTTTTTTTCTTTTGAAAGCATTGTTAAAAACGAAGACCACTTATATTCTTGTACTTTTCAGTACATGAATCTGATTATTTCTACTTTTGAAAGAAAGTGGAATAGAAAGTGCTAATTCCAAAGAGCTCATTTTTCTATTATTTTACGTACTTGATCTTCATTATATATTTTTTGTGCGAAACTATTACAGAGGCCTACATTGCAACAGTAAAACCTTAGGACCATAATTATATCCAAGTAAATGACTGACAAATCTTGTCAAATTATCTCATTTGAAACACTGAAATTGTTCAGATACTGGGAACATTATCTTTTTTTTTAATTTATGGCCTATATTATTTTTTCATATTTAAGGCAATAAAACTTCCAATTTTCTTTATATTTTTTTAATTATGTTTGTTGTCTCTTACGTTTCGGGACAATTTTCCCATCATCAGAGCAATCCTTATCTTTACTGAAATTATGCACATTTTTTATTAACTTTTATTTAACAATATCATTCTAATTTATCCATTTTACAATTATTTACCTTTCTTTTTTTTGATGTGGCACCATTTGTCAAAAACTAAATATTTTTCACATTTTTTAAAAACTATTTTTTGGTGTTACACATATTCATTGATACACTAATCAACATCTGACTATCTTTAGTTTTATTTCTGTACTTTTTACCTGTCCTCTTATTTCTTATTATGGTTGTTTGTTGTGTTTTTTTGGCTATTGTTGTTTTTTTTAAATTTTAATATTGGATATTATGTTCGAATAGTGTGTACCTAAATATTTTATAGTCTACTGTTCTATTATTGTTTTTTTTTATATGTATTTTTGTAAATATACTATTATAAATATACTATAAATATAAGTAAAAGAGCACTCACCGGGAACCTTGTTAATTAATCCATCAAACCCAGGGTGTGCCACGCTTGCGGCAAGGAACAGGGTTAGTACGGCAAGCATTTTCAAATCTATTCTCTTTTTAGAGAATAGTAGAGATTTATATAAATCCCTGTCTATATATCAGAAAGATAATAAAAGCCTAATCAAGCGCATTCAACAAAGATTATGTTCTCTATTTTATCTTAATCTGGTTTGATTTCATATTCCTTTCATTATCATTTTATTGATAATAAATATATGCAATCTCTGTCTAAAAGAAACTAAATAAATATATGCTATCTGTGCTTAAAAGAAAATGATGAATGCAATTGTTTATTTAAATAATGAAAAAGTTGTTTTTAAGAACTCTAGATACAGGTTACTTTATATATTTCTTCCTCTGATATCTTCTGATTTAAAACTTTTTATTAATTAAAATGCAAATAGATAATCTCTCAAATGTTTAATCCGTTAATTCCTGGATAACCCACATCTTAATGAACTGATTTTTCAACAAAGATATTTATGTTGCTAGCCTCTATATTAATAGCATCCCTGGAAGGAGGGGGGATAGAAGCGGCGATTTGCCTTGGTCCTCACTTTCTAAGAGGTCCTTCAAGAGGATCTAGTTTTATTTTTCATATTTTTTTGTCTTAATTAAGTGGTAATTTTACACCAAAAACATTATATACATTTATTTATTTTTATTAGGGAGCTCAAACATTAGCCAAGCAGTTTCTCTGCCCCATTATTATTTCATAGTCATTTATTTAATTATAATTCATAAAAAGTTCAATATGCCTTAAAAGTAATAATTATATTTTATTAAAGGTAATGGGCCACTAATTTATGCATGAAATTCTAATCTTCATCCTCCTATATTTCCTAACAACCTGCACTTATTTTTGTAATGACCATTAATAAACCATGAGAAAGGAATAATGGTATAGATACAATAAGTATTCTGGATTTTTAATCTCTGGAGAAATTGTTGCCTCTTTATTTTTTTTACATCTACAGATTTATTCTTAATGTTCACCTCCTCAATAACCTCAACGAATGACTACTGGTAAGAAATAGACCAGTGTACAACAAGCGAAAACAGTTTTATTCTATCTTTTAAATAAAATGAAAAAATATTTTATTATTCTGGGACTGTTGTCCCTTTAGAACAAATTATAAATACAGATTGTATATCTGTGTGGTTACAATTAGATTATATATTTACACTAAGAGTTGACTAAAGATAAAAATACTGAAGAAGAGAAACAAAAGAATGAGAAAATTGTACATATATATGAGAAACTAAAATAACCTGAATAAATTGAGGTAGTCTCTGGGGGTGCTTAGATATTTCTCTTTGGTATATTTTACAATCAGTCGGATTAAGAAAGGAGTAGGTGTTTAAAGAGAAGTTTGAAAGAGGAAACTGATTGAGCATGTCGAATATCAGCAGGGTTGGAATTCCAGAGGGAGGCGGCTTGAATTGCACATGATTTGTCAAACGCAGAAGTTCCGTGAGGAGGAGGATAGAGGCCGGAAGTAAGAGATCTAGTGGGACAGGATTGGATGGAGTCTTTGAATTGTAAGCTGTGAAAAATATAGGAGGGTCGATGAGTTCTAATGATTTGGTACGGAAAGGTGGCGATAGGATGGGTAGAGCCACCTCAACTCAGTGTAATATTGGGTAATATGCGTATCCCTTGAGATTCCGAAAACAAATTGTAGTGTGCAATTCATTAGGCATTTAAGTTTGGCCTTGGAATCTCCCAAGAGTCCACCGTACACCATACAGCCATAGTGAAAGTGGGGGGAAACAAGGAAGAAACTAAGAGTTGACGGGACTTATATGGAAGGAGATATTGTAGACGATTGAACTGTTTTAGTGCGACGGAAAATTTGGGAGATGTGTGGTTTCCAGAATAGGGTTTGATCGAAAGTAACGCCTAGGTTTTTAACGGTGGTGTGGAATAAGATAGGTGAGTTGTTCAGGAGGAGATTGGGAGATACCGAGTAGGATTTGAGGAGTGAGGGGGATCCGATCAAGATGGCTTTTGTCTTCTCGGCGTTCAGAGTGAGCCTATTGAGGTTTGCCCAAGCACTTATTCTGTCAATGTCTTCCTGAATAGTAAATGTGTTGAAATCCTGAAAATTCTCTAAGAATCTGAACTTAAGAGTGCACAATGCTATTATAAAGCCATAGCATCTTCTGATGTGAACCTGGACACTAACCAGCACCACAGAAAGAAATATTCAAAGATTTGAGCCAAAAATCCTCTTCAAAATAACCAGAGCAATCTGGAATCAGAGCACTAATGCTTGGAGGAGAAGAACCAATGAAGAACTGTTTACCAAACATTCTACTGGAATGTGTACCTTAGAGTGATCCATCAGGAAGTCTCTCCCCAACAATCGATGCCTCAATAGTTGGCTAGAGAAT